AATTCTGGGAGTTGAAGTCCTCCAGGCTTAAAGTTGCCAAGGTTGGACACCCCTGAGTTAGAGAAAGATCCTGGTAGGATCCTTGGGTAGATGTTCATCTCTGATAGATGCTTGATTTTGGGGGACCAAAATCAGTGGACCAAGCTGGCCGAAGGTAGAGAAACTTTGGGGTTTTTTTTTCTCCTTGCCACCACAATCAAACTGATTCTCTCTACAGGTCTCCATGACCAGGTTTTTCTTTTTTTAAAAAAAGCTATTGCACATTTTATCTTTGAGATAGGATCTTTTTTCTTGAATTGGGAACTCCCCCCCCCCCAGCTGTTGTGGAACTGGCCAGTCCATGAACAGGGAGGTCCATGGTGGAGAAGATCTGGGATGGACGGTGGTGGCAACAGGGGCTTTGAACTCAGAGCAGCCTCTCGAAGGAAATAAATTTGGGAGGGGGAAGGGCAGGAAAGGTGTGACCAGGAAACTCAGATCGGTCAGCCAGGCAGGTGGGATCTGTGGGGGGGGGGGTCTCTTTTCAACCACCACCCTCATTCTCCAGCCCCAGGCTTCAAGAGATGGCATCATTTTTGTCCTGGCATCATTGATCATTTTTTAAGCAGTGAGAAAATCCCAGCCTCGTCTGAAGGACTGGAGAAGGGGTGATTGTATGGCAGGGCACTTCAAACTTGAAGACTTTTGGACCTCAACTCCCAGAATTCCTCCTCCTCCAGTCATGTTACCTCGGGAATCCTGGGAGTTGAAGTCCACAAGTCTTAAACTTGCCAAGTTTGAAGAGCCTCGTTGTATGGGGTGAGGGGGGTTAGACTCAGTATATTCCTTGAATAGAACTTTCCCTATAAAAATAGACATCGAGGGGACACAGAGGGGTGGGCTTAGTTGTTTCCTTTAACCTTGGTTTTGAATCGTGGGGGGCGGGGGGGGGGGGAACGTACCAGAGACGGACCAACCATCAAGCTCCTTGGGGCTCGGTTTCAACTGCTTGCAAGAGCCTTGCCTTGCTTGATAAGGGCCAGGCCGACTCCCACCTCCCCATCTAGCGGAGTGGACTTTCCTCTGGCCGTCCGCTCGCCCTCCAGCCGCTTGTAATTGGGCACCTGGCTCTCTAACGTCTCCAGGCTGTCGGGGCTGAAGTCGCAGCCTTCGTTTTCCGAACTGCATTCACTCAAATCTGTGATTTCCAACTCGGAATCGGACGCTGGATCCTCTTTAGCCCCTCGAGCCCCCCCGGAAGGGCTGGATGACCTGGGGACCAGCAATTCCTTAGTGCGAGCGCTCGGTCCGTGGACGTCCCCGCGGAGGGGCAGAGTTGCGCTATGGGTCGGGAGGCAGAGTCGGGGCACGGAGCTCCCCGCCAGGCCTGCCGTTCTCTCGGGGGTTTCGTTGGTCAGGAGGGAGAGGGGCGTGGGAAGCTGGGCCAGGGAGCCAGACAAAGGGTTGGGGTAGAAATGAGGGGAATAGAGAGAGGTGGGCAGCTTGGAGCTGTTCAGGGGGAAAGTGCTGGACAGGTAAGGGTTGAAATTCCAAGGATATTCGGGAAAGGAGGTGTTCCGTCCATAGGGAGTCAGCAAACTGGGGGGTTTCGTGTAGCCAGCCATACCTGTGGAGAGAAGGAAAGAGAGGTGAGCAGACACTCCGTGCTCAGACCAAGAATTGGATAAACGTGTTTGAGACGGCATAATTTCCAATATAATATCAATATCCTTTGAAATCTAGTGTTCAGCCAGTCTGGTCTGGTAGTCAAGGCCTCAGGCTAAAAAAAAACAACCCAGAGATTCTGAGTTCTACTCCCACCTTAGTCCTGAAAACCGGCTGGGTGACTTTGGGCCAATCGCCAGGTGACTGGGAGTTCTAGCCCGTCTTAGGCATGAAAGCCGGTTTAGGTGACTTAGGGCAAATGAACAGGAATCTGGGAGTTCTAGTCCCACCTTAGGCAGAGATGCTAGCTAGGTGACTTTGGGCCAGTCCCTCTCTCTCAGCCCAACCCACCTCCCTTACAGGGTTGTTGTGAAAATAGGAGGAGGAAGGTGTGTTGGATATATTTGCCACCTTGAGCTATTTGTAAAAATAATAAAGGCAGGGTATAAAAGGGAGGAAGGAAGGAAGGAAAATAATGTAAGAGAAGGAAGGAAGGAAGGAAGGAAGGAAGGAAGGAAGGAAGGAAGGAAGGAAGGAAGGAAGGAAGGAAGGGAATGTAAGAGATGGAAGGAAGGAAGGAAAGAAGGAAAATACTGTAAGAGACAGAAGAAGGGAAGGAAG